ATCCATCCATCCATCCATCCATCCATCCATCCATCCATCCATCCATCTATCTATTCATTAATCCATCTATCTATCTGTTCTTATAACTTCTTATCAGCATGGTTAAATTTAACTTTACATTTTAATTGTTTAAGGAATTATTATTAGGATAAACATGCTGCCAATATTGCCGAATCACTAATGAATCCTTTGAAAAACGATGGCGTGGGAGTCCAAAATTAGAAAATATTTGGCCACACGTCATCCTGCTGGGTTTGACGTCTTCCAAATGCAAACTGAAAAAGTTTATTTTAAATACGTCCTCAAAGGACTGTTTTGGGCTCTTTCTGCCGGGAAAATGTAGAAGTAAACTCATTTAAACCACATTCTATCTATCTATCTATCTATCTATCTATCTATCTATCTATCTATCTATCTATCTATCTATCTATCTATCTATCTATCTATCTATCTATCTATCTATCTATACATCTATCTATCTATACATCTATCTATCTATCTATACATCTATCTATACATCTATCTATACATCTATACATCTATCTATACATCTATCTATTTATTTATTTTTCTATCTATCTATACATCTATCCAGTCTGTGTTTCCAAGACTTTTCAGACTTTTCTGTAAGATTTAGAGCAACAAAAACAAACACAAACACAAAAACATGAACAGGCCCATCCATCTAAATCCGACAGCGTAACCGTGGCGATAATCCACCCGGAGGGGCTCAGACATTAGACTGATTGATTTCTAAAGATGGCGACTCGGGGGCCGGTGTCCTACATCTGCTCCCATTTCTGGTTTGTGTTTACGGGATTAAAACCATCATTCACAAAAACAAAAAAAAAACGGACTTCCCTCCCAATATGTTTCCTATCCTGTTAGGCGATTTTAGGCGATTTTCGGGGGTAAATCGGGCCTAAAAACGCGCCCGTTGTCGCCCCCCCCTGGTTGTTTTCTTGTTTCTGGACGCGTTTACGGGATTAAAACCGTAACTCACAAACAAAACCCGGCCTTCCCTCCCAATATGTTTCCTATCCTGTTAGTTTTAGGCCGTTTTCGGGGGTAAATCGGGCCCTCCTGAACACCGAACCGGGCCCGAGGCTCTACCACAAAGCTGTGGAAAACACAAATAAATAGATAAATAAATAAAGCGGGCGTCGTGGTCCACGTTTGTGCCCGGTCACGTGGTGCCTCTGCCGGCTTCAAATAGCCCGTCCGACTCACCGGGCGGCCAGATTTTCCTCTGACACCAGCGGGGATCGGCGAGCCAAGTGCGATGAGGAGGTGGGCGGTCAGATAACATGAGATTTATCTATCCAGCCGCGTCTCCTCAGCGAAGCAGGCAAACGCGGCGCGCACATGGACAGCGAGCAGCTCAGCGACTCTGTGAGTGGACACAGCAGACCTGTTGGGTAGAACAGTTGTGTGTGTGTGTGTGTGTGTCTGAATGTGTTGGTTAAAAGCTTTTCTGTGAGATCCCAGGCTCTGTTTTTCTTCTTGTTCTCTCAAAACCGGTGGGAGAACTAGTGCTGGTTGCTGGACTTGGACTTGTTCGTTGTGTGTGGGTTTGTCATGTGTGTATGTGTGTGTGTGTGTGAGTGTGTGTGTGTGTGTGTGTGTTGGTTAGAAGCCTTTCTGTGAGATCCCAGGCTCTGTTTTTTCTTCTTCTTCTTCTTCTTCTATCAAAACTGGTGGGAGAACTAGTGCTGGTGGCTGGACGTGTTGGTTTTGAGTGGGTTTGTCGAGTGTGTGTTTGTGT